AAAATATTTTGATTATAAAACCCATGGGATTAAAAAAAAAAAAAAAAGATAGCAAGGAGGTACTTAAACAGGCACACACAACCACATACAGAAATGACTGGACTCACATCTCTCAGTTGATCTTGTACCAATGCCAAGTCTGCAGAAGGTACCTGTCCATTCTGTTGAGAGAAAAACCATCTCTTAAACGAGAGCACCAGGACTCTTCTTTGAGTTGGTCATCCAGCCAAACTAAGAAACCAGGCAAGAACCCAACAGCCACTCTTCAAGAAGACTTCAAACTAACTGCTGCCAAAGGAACTTCAACAAAAGTATTACATATCTGAATAAGTTTGATTTTAAATGTCTACATATATTTCTATAAACATTTCTTTACTTTGTCATGATGGGTTACTGAGTGTAGACCGACTGGGAAAAATAACATTTTATCCATTTAAAATGAAATATACAACAAAGAGTGCAAAAAGTAAAAAGGCCTGAATACTTTTGGAAGCCATTATGTATTGGCATTAATTGAGCTGACAAGATATACTGTACCTATATTTTTAGTTACATTAGTTTATAAATTTAATTAACAAGTCCTAACACAATCATTCAAATTCAAATCTTTATTTATGCGCTGAAACCATGTCCACTGCTGTCTACCACTGTGCCTGTTTTGTTATACAGAGCGCTAGACACAGTGCTGTCATGGGGGTGCCTTTAAATAATTTCAGTTGAAGTAAAATGACAGACAGAACTGAAGAATGCAATTTTGCCTTCGACTTGATAAGGACAACTGAAGCGGTTCTAAAAGAAAATGAGCACTTCATGTTCAAATTGTTATTCATGTCTATTGTTGATCATGCATTTTCTGGCCAAACTCCCAATGGACAAAAACGGACCAAAGCCAACATTTAAACTCAAGCAAACCCTTCACAGCACAGTCACAACAGCAGGCATAACAGTAGCGTCATAGGTTTGTCATTATTAAGCTAAGCCTACTAATAGCTTTTGTGAATGCATGCAGAGGAGAAAAGGTGAGTTGGGGTCTGTTGATCAGAGCTAAGACAGTGGCAGTGGAGAGCATTCCTGGAAAATTACCATAAAAACAAAGATAAAAAAATCCTTTTGAAATGGTATTTCCACCATTCTGGTGACTGTTATAAGCAACAAAACAAGGGAACTTCTTTTTTTGTTAAAAAAAAGCAACCCTCTTTCTTCAAACTTTCCTATTCTTTTGGCTCTACCTTAACCAAAACCATAACTACAGAGTGATCAAAAACCTTTTTAAACAAAGATAATGGGCCTAGAGCTTTTAGTGATCAAACAAATTCAGAGAAACTATCCAAAGGGATAACCCCTGGAAAAGGGTACTGAAAATGAAATGGGATTATTTTTTGAATCTCTTTAAATGGAGCTTTATTATTGGCCCTGAAGGAATTATTTTGTTTGTTAAGGGAACTGTGTGATGCCTCAAGTCTTCACTTGTGATTTTGCCACAGAAGTCAAGGAGAATCCTGATGACTGCTCTCTAATAGTGTAGCGGGGACCTGCTGTGCTCAAAGCATCAAAGGCCGGGCCAGGCATCGGTGCTGCCTTTTGATAAGGAATAAGGGACTAAAAGTGTACTCAGTGGCTATTACGCATTCACCAATGCACTGACGACTTTGGTGATGAAGTCCTACAGACCAAGTGTCACATCTTTCACAAACCTATTCTAAGTGAGGTGTTATTATACAGGTTTTAACTGCTGGAAAAAAAGAAGAAAAAGATTACTATAGAACAATGTGGTTTGACACTTGGAATGTTTCATATTGAGCCATGTGTTGCTGTATTTGCCTTTCATTGCAATATGTTGTTAAGCTGCTCAGTGAGAACTAATGTCAGCAGCTGAGAAAAACAATCAGGTCACACAATACCACCTAGTGGGCAGAGGAACAGGTGCATCTGCTTTCCCAGACAAGCCAACATTCATGCAATAGGGTAAAAAAATATCTTCTGTTGAAATATACATGTTAAAATGGACCAGAGACAAATATCTCACCCATTTTATTAGGTTAAGACTTACTTCTTCCTTTATAGCAAATGTGTTATACTTTAGACTTTTCTTTACTTGGTTAAAAAAAATATATATATATATATTATAATTGAACATAAGCATATAAACTGCATCAGGACAAAAGGCCAGGAGGAACACACTGTCAGAGGAAGGGATAAACCCACTCAACCATCCTGTTCAGTGCTTTCCTTTATCCTCAAGTTTTATAATCAGCTAGATTTTTCCATTACTTTGCATTTTTGTTACCAACATCCTGCAATGAAATTATTTATAACTACCTAGGGCTAGTCATCAATAACTTAAGATATGGTAGTGACTAAGCACTTTAATTATCAATGTCATGATGCCATTAACACTGTACTAGCAAATGTAGTCAGTCAGACTCAGTTTTAATGTACAGACAACTGACTTTGTGGAAGAGAAGAGAACTTTCCCAGGTTTGTCAACCTACCACCTGTGCTTCTAGGGCCTGGCACCGAGCAGAAACAGTGACCAGCTTGTTTTTCAGATTCTCTGTCTCTTGTGACAAGTTCTGGAATAGCATGTCTCTCTGCTCTGCCTCCTTCCTCCGCTGCTCTAGCTGGGCCTGCAGTGATGTTACCACCTGAAACGCACAATATAAAATAAACAAAAACTTGACTACCTTCCACCAAAAAAAATCCTTTGCTTATGTAAAAACAATTTGCTAACAATATCTGTTCATCTCCAAGAAATTATCTGGCTCACACATATGACATTACATGGCTGACAGTCTGCTGGCATTACCCACTGAGCATCTCTGGATTTAGCACTTTCCTGATGAAGGTTAATGAGGAAGAAGCAAGTGTGATTAAATCACATCACACTCTCACGTCTGGGAAAACAAACAGCTAATATTCCATTTAGGAGCATGCATACCCAAGTTTTAGTCTGATGCCATTCTGACTAGCCTGAATTAGAAAATGATTTCTGCAATAGCAAAAAGAGATTTCACATGGATAAGCAGCAACAGCCTCAAACAGAGCATCTATTTCTCCAGCAGTGTCATAAACAGTAACAAGTGATGAATGCTAATACATACAGACCCACTACAGTGAAAGATTAGTGGTTTATAAGTAAACAGCATACAGTGTCTATACTTCACTAACTGAACTTCTGTCAGAATGGAATAGAAGCAACCCCCAAAGTGTTTTATGGCATCTCAGTGGAACTCTAGTGTGATTTCAGCCCCCCTTGTGACAGTTGTCTGCTGCCAGCAATACAATGCTAAGTGCAACAAATTGTCACAAGTGGAAGAGTACTCTCAAAGACACAGATATAAGTATATATCCCCATCATGAGCAGAAACCTGTTTCATTGTGTTCTAATGTGTGTGCATATATATATATATAT